GGCAATATACTCATACACATAAAATAAAAATAATAAAATATTTAAAAAAAAACATATTAAATTAAAAAAAGGGGATTGAGAAAGAATCCTGATGTCAGTCTCCAGTGTGCACATGCCTGCGCTAGTGAATGCACCCATTCCCCACACGTACATGGACATGCATGGACCAAGAAAAATACATTTCATTGGGTGGAGTTGTATTAAGATACTACTAAGGTAATAGGCCATTTTGTCTAGTATGCACAAAGCCCTGGGTGTTTTGACATCTGTCATTGAACAACAACAAAAAAAGAGTATACTTTGGTTATTAGCAGGAAATTTTAACAGCTTTAATGAGATATAATGTATATCATAAATTCATCCTTTAAAAAATCTATAGTTCAGTGTTTTTTAATTATTGGGGTTTGTTTGTTTGTTTCTTTGTTTGTTTGTTTGTTTTGAGACAGGTCTCACTATGTAATTCTGACTGGCCAGGAACTTGCTATGTAGACCAGGCTGACCTCGAACTCACAGAGATGTCTGTAATTCCAGCAGTCAGGGACCACAAGGGAGGAGAATCACCACAAGTTCTAGTCAGCTCGGGTTATATAACCAGACCATATCCCAAAACACTAAAAAAAATTAAAATTAAATTACCTTTGGGACAAGCATCATGATGGATGCTTATAATCCTAGCACTTAGGAGGTGGAGGCAGAAGGCTCAGGAGTTCAAGGCCAGTTTAGGCTACATGAGTCCCTGGCTCAAAAATAAATAGATAGAGCTAAAGCTGTAGCTCCTTTTTAAGAGTATGTGTGTCTGCTAAAGGATATAGGTTTAATACTCAACACCTAAAAAATAAAAGAGCTATTGGTCAAGATATAGACTCTTCTATATACCATTGATATAATCTATGATAATTAGCAATATTTTGTTTTGTTTTCGTTAGTTTTTCGAGGGTTTTTTTTGTTTTTTTTTAAGACAGGGTCTTCTATAGCCTTGGCTGGCCTAGAACTCGCTATGGCCTGAGTCTCACAGAGATCTGTCTGCCTCTGCTTCCTGAATGCTAAGATTAAAGGCATGTACGACCATGCCTGGCTTAATTAGCAGTGTTTTTAAACATGAGTAAAATACCACCTATGGCTATTATTAGCAGGGTACCATAGTTGCTATTTAACCTAATTATTGAGTTTTATTTTTCCTAGTTCTTATGTGTTCTTTCATTTTAGCTGTCTTCTCAGTTTTTTTCTCATTTTTTTTCTATATAAAATCAGAAGTAATAACATTTTATTTTTAGTCAGGGTCTCACTTATGTAGTCCTTATGGACCTGGAACTCACTGTGTAGATCAGGCTGGCCTTGAACTCACAGAGATCCACCTGCTTCTGCCTCCCAAGTACTGGGATTAAAGGTGTGTACCACCATGCAGGGCCAGTAATAACATCATTATCTCTTCCCTAAAAATATAAGCATCGAGGGGACTCAGCTGTTAAGAGCATTGGCCACTTTTGCAAAGGGCCTGGATTTTGTTCCCGAAACGAAACACTTCTAAATATAAAATAAAAATAAAATTTAAAAAATACAAACATTGAGATATTTGTTAAGGATTTACATTCCTTTGAATAAAGATATTCCAGGTAGGCAATCCCTGCTTTTGAGAGGTAGAGGTGTAAGAAGATTAGGAATTCAAAGTTAACTACTTCAGAGTTCAAAACTAGACTGGGCTGCCAGAGACCCTGTCTTAAAAACTAATAATGATCTCTGTCTCAAAAAGACAAACAAAACAAAAAAGGTAAGTGGAACTTAACATAGTTTCTGGTATGTATTGAGCACTAATTAAATATTCATTACTACTATTGATGTTACCACTATTGACTTACCCAGTATTTTAATTTTGTTATTTAGTTAGTTTGGTTTGGTTGGTTGGTGGTTTTTGGTTTGGTTTCTGGGCAGGGGGTGTGGGGCAGGATCTCATTTAGCTCAGATTAGCTTTGAGCTCTCTATCTAGTTTAGGACTGACTTTAAACTTTTGATCATATTGCTTCTACTTCTCAAGTGCTAAGATCACAGGCATGTACCATCATGTTTGGCCAAAGTTTGAATTTTATTTATTTATTTATTCATTTATTGATTGATTGATTGATTGATTGGTCTTTCTGAGACAGGGTCTCCCTATAGCCCCAGGTGACTTGGAACTCACTATGTAGACTAGGCTATGTAGACTCACAAAGCTCCACCTGTCTCTGCCTCTGGGGTTCTGTGATTAAAGGCATGCAAGTAAGTTTTCGAGGCTAGAGAGATGGCTCAGCAGTTAAGGCACTGACTGCTCTTGCAGAGGACCCAGGTTTGATTCCCAGCACCCACATGGTGACTGTGAACCATCCTTGACTCCAGTTCCAGGGGAATCCAAAGCCCTTTTCTGACCTCCACAGCATTGCAGGACACGGGTACACTCACATACATGCAGGCAATACACTCATACACATAAAATTAAAATTTAAAAAGTAAGTTTTCAAGGGAGTGGGGCTAGAGAAAGGACTCAGTGGGTAAAGTGCTATTAAAGCATGAGGACCTGATATCGGATCTCCAGCACCCATGTAAAAGCTGGGCTTGCAGTGTGCTATAACCCCAGCACTGGATGGGGATTTTGACATGCTGATCCCTGGGGTTTGCTGGGCAGTCAGTCTAACCCAGACAGGATCTCTAGGTTCCATAAGCGACTGTCCCAAAAACTAAGATGGAGGACTGGAGACATGGCTCAGCAGTTAAAGCATTTGTTGCTCTTCCAGACAACCCAAATTCAATTCCCAGCAACCATATCAGGTGACTCACAAACATCTGTAACTCTAGCTCCTGGGGGATCTGAGGCCTCTGACCTCCACAGATACCTGTACACCTGCCCATACACAAGACACATACATAAATACACATAATTTTTTCTTTTTATGTATATGAGTATTTTGCCTCGTACTTGTGTCATGCAGTGCCCTCAGATGTCAGAAGAGGACAACGGATCCCTTGGAACTGGAGTTACAGACGGTTGTTAGCCACCATGTGGGTGCTGGGAATTGAACCCAGGTCCTCTGTAAGAGCAGCCAGTGCTCTTAACTGCTGAGCCATCTCTCCAGCCCCCTTCACACATAATTTTTTCTTTTAACTTTTACAAAAACTTTATTGAGAATTTCATACATGTATAGAAGATGTTTTGATCAAATCCGTGCACACTCCCTCCCCCTTCATAATTCCCCCCCTTTGAAGAGGTAACCCTAAAATCTTTTTTGTTTGTTTGTTTGTTTGTTTCTCTCAGTGAGACAGCTCGTTTGTTCAGTGGGGGTCAGGGAAAAATATAGGGTGGAGGCAGCAGCCAAAGCTTCAGCTGATAGGTGTTCATAGTAAGCTTTATTTACATGTGGTAGGGGGATCCTATCATCTGGCTATAGGGCAATGTCTAATTAGATACAAACTCCCAAATACTTTTAACATTTTTGGCCTTTGGAACAGAGTATGTTGCTAACAGGCCC